AGGGGGGGGGGGGGTCAAGCCCCCCGTTTCCGACAGCCTAGCTTGTGTTACATGTGACATTGCCAGCTGCCATTAATTAATAGTTTGCAAAATTGTGAAAAATAAATCAATGCTGTAGATTGCAAGTGGTATTATGCACTTTCTCCATTGGCATTATAGACATAATACACACAAAATTCCAAAAGAGCAATTAACTTGGTAATCCCGAGTATTCCATACTCATTGAGAAATCAGTCAGATGCAATTGTACCCACCCTCTGGTCGACCCTTGCCACTAGACGTTTCAGTACCTTTGCCCTGCATATCATGGTTTATGAACTCAGCATTTTATGATTGAATTAGCTCTTCTACAATGATATTTTATGCTCAAGTAAATAGACAGTAGTACAGCAAGCTGGCTGGAATATGGTCAGAGGTTCACTCCTCAGTGGCACAACTCTTGAGGGCTGTGCCCGGCAAGGGCCAGGGGCCCAGGGGGTGTGCCTTGTCAAGGAAGGTCCCTGGGCTAACCTTTATGCAGTGTTTGGAAATTTTAATTTAAATAATTAATTTAATTAATAAATTAAATTAATAATTAATTAATTAATAATAATAATTATAAACAAATTAATAGTAAATAATAATTAATATTTAATTATTTATTAATTAATTAATATTTTTTAAAAATTTTTTAGCTTAAAAGCGGACTCCCTGTACACACTCTGAACAGTATGGCAAGGGAGCCCTTGACGGGGTGCACTGAGACTTCATCCTATCCATAATTAAGGCTCTGGGAAATGAGTACCCCATATGCCCCTAGTATCTAATAGAGTGTGAATTTCAAGTTGTGAAATAAATGGAAAGTCCTATTTTTGCAGGGTATATCCTTGACCCAAAAAATAGATTGATGATGTGATCAGTTTTATCTTCTTAAAAACAATATCTATATAAATACTCTAAATCACTGAACTTTACCCAGAAATAGTTAAATACTTTGCATTCCATGGTCCATGGAATACAAGGCTCATTTGTAGCTTGCTGTTTGCAATGAGTAAAATTAATATTGTATTATGTAATGTAATCTTCAAAAATTATGAAGGGCCTCAGAACTCCTCTCCCAACTAAAGAAACACATTAAAAGGGATGGCTTAGGGACAGACCATTAGAAAAGTGATGGGGGTGGGGGGGTGTAGGACATAATATTCCAACCTGTACAATTATTTTTTCAAAATTTTTTTTGAAAAAACTAACTAACATCAATTAAGTTAATTAGGTTCAAAAGAAATTTTCCCTGACAAATTCTTGTTAAAACACGCTTAAAACCCTTTTTTTGCACCAATATCTGCAAGATTTAGGTTTAGGAAATTTTTTCTCACACCATTGCTTATATAAAAAGCGTTCCAAATTATTTTTTTATTTTTCAAATTTGGGGGCCACCCTTACACTGGGGGCTCGGGGAAAATTGCCTCCTCTGCCCCTCCCCCTGATAGTAAACTTATAACAACAACTCAACTTATAATTTTCCCTATTGAAAAGTCTCTGCACGAATTTTTTTTTTCAAACTTTTGGTGCACAAGTTTTTTTTTCTGTTCAATTTTTATTTTTGCTTCCCTCCCCTCCCCCCATCACTTTTCTAATGGTCCACCCCTTAGTCCATTACACCCTACTGTTAATGACAAACATGAGATTGATCATAAAGTTTGCCTCCACTATGTGTTCTTTTATGTCTTGTTGAAGTACTTGAATATCTGAATTCTTTACAGATATGATATTCATATAAGGTTTTACTCTATTATGTGTGTTTTTGTGACAGTAACTAAATTGTGTGATGTTGAATAATTTTTGTTACACATCTTAGCAAGCCTCATATACAGGATGTGCTTGTCTGTATCATGATTTGTTGCAGTGTATGTTGTTTAAACAAATTTGCCCATGTTAATTGGTATGTTTGCCAGAATCATAATATTTTTTCACTGCAACATGGCATGCTCACATTCATAAGGTAATTGTGAGTGTGGTGGTGAAAATGCAAGCAATATTGTTCCACTATTCAGTTATAGCACTTTATTTTTTATAATTTATATCAATTATATGATAAAATATCATACGTCTGGCAGTTTAACTTTTTAAAACTGCTAATACTCAGTTTATTAGAATGCTGTCAATTAATGCACTAGCTGTGACCACATTGGCATGTATTATCCTGCTTAAATAATATCATCTTCATCAAGCCAAGTAATTATTTAACCGTAGCTTGCCAGTTTGAGTAAAATAGTCTAAATTGATTTCATTGTTAAATGAACAACCCAGTCACAACCATCACTCACTCAGTATATCCGTACAGATAAGACTTTAATAGTTAATACATTATAACTTTAACCATGTTTGAGAAAAATTCTGTCATAAAATCTTTTTTCAGATTAATCAGATAAAGAATAAGATACCTGGCATTTCAGAATATAAGTTATACCAACCAAAAAGAATAAAAAGACCAAAAAACAACAATAGAAAATATAGAATATAAACTCCATTTAAACTCCACTCCTAAGCTTGGCGCCATATTGAATTTCGCGGTCGCGCTGGTAAAGGCCTGGGGACTAGGTGCTCTACCGTATCTGAAATAGCCTTCACCTTATTGTACATTACTAGGTTACCTACAGGGCAGTAATGCTGCCTTTGACAGCAAAAGACAAACTACAGGGTGTTGAACGAGTCCTTCAGAAACATCATATTATTGTTTAGCCTGCATGGCAGGCGGTTCCTAAAATTGGGCAAGCCTGGGAAATACCGCCTGCCATGCAGGCTAATTATTGTTATCCTTGTTAACCCATTTATGGACAGTACTCTACCACTGACTGAGTATTAAAAATCGTCTGGACAGGGTAATTACTAAAGTAGGGGTCATTACTGTGCTGATGAATTAACAAGAGCCATTGGCAGATAGGTTTGTTAACCCATTTACTGGCAGTACCCTATACCACTGACGAGTAAAATCTTCTGGCGCTCGACAAGGGAAGGGCGCATTGCCAGCTAATGGGTTAAACCACCGTGGTTAAACATAAGATTTCATGATGCTCCAGGAAATGTAAACAAGCTATCAGTGTGACATCCCAGTTTATATATTTATATACTCGGAATATTGATTTCTCGGTACATACAAAATTATTTTAAAGTATAACAACCAGCGAAGACGTAAGGCACTAACTACCCTGCGCGGCTGCGCGCAGACTATATAACGACATATATATGTCATCCGTCCGGTCCGTCCGTCATTCATCCGTCCGTCCGTATTCGCGTTTTATCCTAACCCGTTTTTAAAACACAAAGTTTGCAGTTACTGAAGGCATTTCGTCATGATCAATATTTTCAAAAGCGGCCAATTAGACCAGGGGTTAAAGGCCAATGACAATGACATGCAGGTGACATTTAACATTGCGTCTAAAATTTGCGTGTTTAATAGTGTTTATCAAAGAAAGCAAAAATTAAATATATACAAGACAATCTCACATGTGGAGTTTTTTCACTTACAGTACGTAATGCCTTGTGATGCAGTACAAGCTGCCTCGTCCCCAGGCGCTAATAAAAAATTTCATGCGAGTCACTATATGAAAGGTTTACATGAAGTAGTACATCATGACGAACAAGCGCAGGGAGTTATGGGCTTGAGGCATCAGAACGCTCATATCCCACTCTCCTTTGCGCGCCTATAATGTGACGCACTACTTCATGTAAACCTTTCATATAGTGATTCGCAAATTTTTTAATTAGCGCCTGGGGACGAGGCAGCAGTACAAGTATAAATACAAATGACAAAGCATTTGTAAATCCTAAAACATAATTAAATCATACGGCACATTTAAGATTTTAATATCGTATTTCAGCCGCGTTTATACTGTTTGGCGCATTCGCTGCGTTATATTCATTTACAAGTATAAACACAGAAAAGCATGTCATTGTCCTTGCAGACCATAGGCAAAAAGCATCTGTCAACCATGCACATACCAAATTTAAGCAATCGTTAAATCATATACATGTCATGGAAAGAATATGGAAATAATGTTGAATGAAAGCTAGCATCGCGTATAATATTAGTGCTCGAACCACTGCGTATAATGCTCGAACCACTGCGTATAATTGCAAAAGCATCGCGTATATAAATGGTGAAAGCACCGCGTATAATACTGGAACGACCGCGTATAATGGCGAAAGCACCGTGTATAATGCCAAAAGCACCGCCGTATAATGCTAAAAGCACCCAACAAAATGCCGGTTGATCACTTTAAGCCAGCTATGGCTTTCCATAAAAGAAGACCAAAGATGAAACATGATCACATTGCCTGTTTGCCTTATGCCTGACCGCGCTGCACCACGGTTAAAATTCACTGGTACCGTCATGCAATGCACCAAATAGAAAATTTTGATTTCGACCCACAAAACAAAATTAGGATCTGCTGCCTTGCTCGCTCGCTTCAGACTCGCTCGCTGCGGCAGCAATAAGTACCCAAGGAAACTATATAACATAAAAAACTGGATACTAATAGCTGTTTTGCAAAATTGAGAGCAAATTCATATCTCCTTTGAATGTTTGCATGGCGACAAAATATAATTGTTTTTGTTTGTGGAAACACCACGTAAATTTATTACTGCAAAGCTTTCGATCCGTAAGCCCGGATCTTCATCAGTGCTAATAATTAGCACTGATGAAGATCCGGGCTTACGGATCGAAAGCTTTGCAGTAATAAATTTACGTGGTGTTTCCACAAACAAAAACAATTAAATTCATATCTGTTCAGTTTTTTTTTATACACCCTGTGTGGTGTTTTTTTAATAGTGGCGATTGAAAGTCGACTTCTGGAGTAATATTTTTCAATGACAATGGACAAGTGGACTAATTTTATCCTTGATCACAAGTATGGTCATGTACATTTTGCTCTTTTGAAACAAGAACGGAATTTTCAATTGCTTTGCATGATGAGCTAAGAGTTGTTTATCATAATATCTTAATCACATAAATAATTTGCTTACGACTTACGTTGTGGTATGATTGGTAACGGATCCGGCTTCGGCCTATTCTTACACCACTTTATAACGAGGCCAAGTGTAGCAATGATGACAACGGCAAACACAGATAGTGAGAATATTAGAGTTGTTGCTGTCTTGTCCCCTGTCTGACCGCCTTTCGCTGAAAACATAGTTACTTAAGCTTTAGTTTCGTAGTTCAACTGCAGTAGCCGTGAAATGAGTGAAATATTAATTTTTATATTGTTTTTATAAGATTACATTAGATTAAATAGTTGAGTTAAACTGATGATAAATACATATATAATTGTATACCAGGTATAGTTTTCCGCTAAATGGCTCATTGATTCAACCGCGGAGAAAGACAAAATGGCGTTTCGTTTCGGTTTGCACCATTGCATTGGTTTATACATACGAGCAAACTTTTGTACTAAGGGAAAGTACATTTATTATGCCGAGGGGGAATGAAGATGTTAAGGGGGGCACCGAAATATTTCCTGGCTTTTAATGCGGGGCTTTGAAAGTTCTCGATATACCAAAGGGGGGGGGGGCTATAAACTTTTCAAAGTTTTGGTCCAGTAAGGGCCTGGAATGTTCACTCCCACCATAGTTAATAGAATAGATGATGTGGAAACTCATTAGAATAACAATATAACCCATTGTCTATGTTAGTGACGTTTATTCATAAATCTGGTCTTTCACCATCACGTGCGTATTGTATATTTTTACCCGACTAACCAATAGCAATGTTTTAGGAAAGTTGATCCTATCCATCACTCATGCAAACAATAGGGAAAATTGCTATTGGTGGACATGGCAAAAATATAATACACACGTGAGTCGTGTGTCTCGTGACGGTGAAGAAACATATTTACGAATAAACGTTAGCTAACATAGATAATGAGTTATATTGTTATTCGAATGAGTTTCCAAACCATCTATTCTATATTAACTGGCATGGGGGAGCTCCACATGGAATACGTAAAAGAATTAAAAAGAAGGCTGCAACACGCCTGTCAAAAATGCATGCAAAAGCACCAATATGCTTCAACTTCTGAAATTGTCATTCTGTTGCTACCAAATTTTCCATGAATGTAGAACATATCATTCTTACAAATCGTATGTTTTTTGTTTTTGGAATTGCTACTTTTTGGCGGGTAAATTACGTCACAAACTTGGCGCCAAAAATTAAAAATAAGCTATTGGTGATTTTATAAATCCATTTGGAAGAGCAGACTAAGAGTACTTTAAAACTGAAATCTGTTTCTAAATACAACCATTTTAATGGCGACACAAATATCGAAAAATCCGCCATATTGTTACTAAAAATAGAACAAAATGGCAGATTACTGAAAATTTAAGTCATTATATATTCGCAAGGAATGGTTGTCAGGGACGTATAGCGACGGGGGGGGGGGTTTGGATTGTGGGGGTGTAAAAACCACTGTGAAACGCAGGCAAAAATCAGGTAAAATTCAAGTTAAAATTTTGACATTTTCAGGTAAAATTTGCGTAATAAAGTAATTATTTCTGTGAAATGATAACCATTTTTGTAAAATACAGTCAATTCACATCCAATTTGTTTGCGAATTTGCTTTAGAAAACGCCAGAAATGCAGTCCTAGAGCTTCAAAATTGTAAACATTTTTGAAGGTAAACATGAGGTGAAAGAAGCTAGCAGCAAGTCAGTATTTTTGTTGAGGAGAAGCACGTTCTTGAGTATATCAGACATCTTGAGGAACTGCAAATTGTATCTACGATAAGAGAGAATTCCGGATTGTACCCCTTCGATTCCAGATTCTGGGGTGGGGCATTGAAAATTCACCAATAACCTCAACAGGGGCCCTGTAAAAATATGAGCTTTTTTTAAGACATCTTCACACCCCCCCCCCCTCCTCGGCATAATAAAAGTACTTAATTTCCCTGAACGAAGCTGCGGTTTCGCAAAATATAGGAAAGACACAAAGGTTTGTTTAACAGAGCGCGTTCAGAGGTATTTTTAAAAGCTATTTCTAATGAATAAAATTAATAAAAGCTTGCAAACACTGTTTGTTTACTACTACAGTATTGTGGGAGCTGAAGTATATATAAATTGTTTAAAAATTATTTTCGTTTTTTGGTCATTTTTGTATTGTTGTGGTATATGCTAAAACAATTATTCACCTCAGCATCGCCGTCGGTGAATGCAATAGTGCAAGAATATCCACCTCAATGCTTCGCGTTTTGGTGAATATCCTTGGCCTTGCACTATTCACCTCCACTTTGCCTTCGCCTCGGTGAATAATTGTTAAATATAATGTATGCATATTATATATTACTTTTTAATGATAGATTGGGTAAAACCCTTTTCTACCAACATCTGTAAAATTTAGGTCTACAAATTTTTTCTCATACCATTATTTATATAAAAAAACGTCTCCAAATTATTTTTTTTTAATTTTGCAAATTTTGGGGCTCTCTAAGCTGGGGGCCCGGGGCAAATTGCCCCCTTTTCCCCCCTCTCTGAAAGGCCCTGTTTATGATCATCGTTTATATACTGTAAAATGTCAAAAAGACAATCACATATAGTTATACTATATACATGCATGGCTAGTCTTGATTATTTATTGCACACGCATGAAACTGATGAAAGAGGTTCCGGGTTGAACTCACCTGACGGGGGATTACTTGAAATTGTGGATTGTGGATCTAAAAAATAACATTTATTTCCGGTTATTGACATGGAGTGTTACGTTATACCTGTTTAAATTATAATTTTGTATTCTCTTGTGTTTTACACTTAACCCTAATATCTTAACCCTAATCCTTACTCTAATCGTAACCCTAATGTTAATCATAATCCTAATTAGCCCTTTCCCTAATCCTAACCCTATAAAAGTCTAAAAATAGTAACTCCCCCTAAAACGTGACTCATATGTATTATATATAGAGCGTGATATGGTCACTTACCATGGCCACATTCAGTTTTGTCCCCCTAGCTTGCAAACACTTTGAAGTCTTTTGCTTGTGCTTATGTCGTTGCTTATAAGAGAGCTTAACGTTAACGCGACGTTTTTGACAACACGCATGCCAACCGGAAGTCAATGGAGCCATCAAAAACCAAATATTTATACTTTGTTCTGGACAACAAATGGATGCATGCATGTACTGCAAATTTCAAGTAATATTCCATCAATATTACGTCCCTGTTCGAGATTATTTGCCATCAAAAACACACATTTTACAAGAAACTTCAATTTCGGCCATGACAGCGAAGAATTCTTGACTGCTGATTTCCCAATTGCGACAAGTATAATTGTGGTCTTGATTAACGTTTATTAACGTTTACATCTGCTAGCTTTCTTTTGTTTTTCCTCTACTGCAGTACGAGAGACAGGCTAGCGAATCTGTGTTTTTGTTGTTTTCACAATTTTTGCTGGCAAAAGGAAAGCGTCCGCGATAAATTTGGTCAGAGATGACAGCTTTCCCACCTGTTGTATTTCTGTTGCCTGTATTTATGCTTTAAATCAGATGTTCCTGTATAAATATATATATATATATATATATATATATATATATATATATATATATATTGTCGAAAACGTCGCTTGCTTAAGCTCTCCATTGACCATTGTACGTCAAACACGTGCTCTTTTTTCGCCTTTTATTTATTCTCGTCTTAAATGACGTACGAATGTAAGTTCGTTCTTACATTTTGGTGAGAAGTTCAAATAACAGACTTAATATATTGTGAAAAAAATCAGTTCTCGTACCCGGTGGAAACGTCGTCTGTGTTACTTTTGGACCCGATGGCGATGGAAACGTCGTCTGCATTGGCTTTGGTGTCGCGAATGTCACTATGAGTGATTTAGTCAGTTTCGCTACAGAATTTAATAAATAAGATGTGATAATTAGGAATGTCATTAACATTCTTTAATTGCTTATTAAACATGCGATAATAATCCGTCACGCGTTGTCAATTCACAGGTTTGGAAGTTAACATTGTTATGATAAAAAGGTAATAATTAAAACGTCGACTATTAGGCTGGGATCTAGCCAACTTCATTGATTACAAATTTATTCGGTTCGTGGTTATGGACATTGTATAATCAAATCATGAACTATTTGAGTGATATAATATTGTGTAATACCTGGCGATGGAGGAGTATTGTAATTTAATGCCGTCGAGCCTTTTGATTGGTATGGAATAGCCTTGACCTAAATAAAAACGGTGAAACTGAAAATAAATGTGTTTTTTCTATTTTTATGAGTCGTTGAATTACCCAAATGATCTATTTTCTAAAACTGACGATTTACATCTGGTCTCATACACCACTATACTAGAAAATAAGAAATTGCCCAGAGGCAGGGAGAGAAACGAAAATGTCCTGCAGAATTAGCTGTTCTGCAGAAACCTCTTGGGGATGACTTTTGGGACACCCTGTATATTACTGACTTTCTTACATTTACAGCGAAACCTCTTCGTCCATCAAATCCAGTTGATTCGTTCAAAATAAATTCGGTGATGTTCTAAAAGCGAGATGACTGACATATTTGCAAAATGTACACTATGTACAGTATTAGTCATATCAAATACACATTTATTATAAGTAACCACAAAACGTATAATTCACCACCAAGCACAGATCTGCTAATATGGTTTTCAGCGCAAAGTGGAAAAATATGCAGGAGTGAGTTTATTATATGTATAAATATATATATATATATATATATATATATATATATATATATATATATATATATATATATATATATATATATATATATATATATATAATGTTGTGTTATTGTTCACTCCGTAATATGATAAGTAGAAAATGTTCTCGAGTGGAGTGTGTATTTCATAATTTCCATACCCAGTGCAAGCAGAAAGATATTGTCGTCTCCGGCGACTGGGTCTTGAACCCGCGACCTTCGAAGGTTGAAATATAACATTATCATACTCATTGTAAATTTAGTATTTTAATTAGTTTTATATAAATAGGAGGAAATATTATTGTAAAAAACATTCCACTGAAGAAGCCGTAAAAGGCGAAACGTTTGGAAAATATACTTTGTGTATTTTTATGTCTGAAGAAATCCCAAAGCCAAGTTCATACACTATCCAGACATGGTACCTCACACCCATATATATATATATATATATATATATATATATATATATATATATATATATATATATATATATATATATATATATATATATATATATATATATATATATATATATTGTTTTGTTGTAGTAGATAATAAAGTGCTCAACACTAGTATTGTAGTAGAGCAAGCTTTATTTATATTGCCTCAAGTTTCACGCCTTCAGGCAATTAATTCAGTTAGTGTTTGATTCGTCAATATCAACGGTCGCTCGCTGACGCGGAGGTTTGTCTATCGTCACCGGTTTGAATTTGCACGCGCTAAATTTTTCCTTGTGACAGCACTTCGCATAAAACTCTAATCGCGTGTTCAGTGAATTGTTTCCTTTCGCTTTCAGGACACATAATTTATCTTCCAAACAGAGGCCACATCGCTTTCCACCAGGCGTGTACGCAGCAGCTCGTTTCAAGATCGACCACATGATGCTGTAATTTCTTCTACTTTGCTTCAGACTCCAAACGTACTTCGAAAGCTTTGTGTCAGACGAGTGGTTGTAGAGGTTGAACGACGTTTTGTGGTTGGCGTATCTTTCTTTGAATGGGTTGGCCGTCATTCCAATATACTCTTTTGTATTTCCGTCATCAGTTGTTGTCACCGTGGCTTTATAGACAATGTTGTCTAATTTGCACTTTCCGTCTAGTGGGCATTCATCTGGTTTTTGGCAGTTGCATGGGACAGGTTTTTGTGTAGGGTTTTCCTTTAACAGGCGACGGTTATGTCGGGATATTATGGTTTTGATATTCTCCATGCAGGAGTAGCTAACTTTGACTGTGTTGCGGTTAAAGACCTTATGGAGCGGGTTGGTAGAAGGGAAATGTTTATCAATCAACTGTAGGAAATTTCGACCGACGTTAGTTCGAACTGTTTTGCTGAAGGGTGGATTAAACCAAATGATGTTTCTACGACGTCTTCGGTTGGTAGATGGCAAACTGGAGGATTTATCACAGGCCGAGTATTAATTGCAGAGGTACATCGTAGTTGCTGCGCTTAAGCGCATCTTCGTAGCATGGTGCAGCAAAATAAAAAGATGCTTGATCAGAAGAAAGCGAGGAGATGCGTTTGCTGATTGAGGAAGGGATATGGTTGATGATAGAGGATATATATATATATGACAAATGCCAGCATTCTGCTCAGCCGACAAGACTTCATATGTGACAAACAGATTGCGAGAGGAAGACCAAATTGTTCTCAAAACTAGAACAGACACGCTGGATTTAAAACATTTATTAACAGATTTCAATACTCCCAAAAAAGACTAAAAAAGTCCCGAATACAACGAAATTTTTAACGTGTTATGCACTTATTGCACGTCGTCGAACACGCTCCCAAGTGTCCTTGTTTTGTGAGGAAGGAACCTCCGCAGTCTACTCCCACACGCTCAAATGCTCGGAGGGGCAGTTTCAATCTTGCCTCTGAAAGCGGGGCCATCATTTGTCCGACTGGTTTAGCTCGGAATTGACGTCGACATCCGCGACAAGCTTCCACGACGTTTCTCGCCGCTCGCCGTCCTTTTACGATCCAAAACCTCGTTCGTAACTCTGCTAGAAGGTGCTCTGTACCAGTGCCGTGACCGAGTTTGGAGTGTTCGTAGGCGATAACAAGCCTGGTGACGGGGTGATCTTTCGGAAGAAGAATCGGATGTTTGACATCGTAAGGTGACTAATTTGCATAACGTAAACGACCGTTTAGTCGCAACAGTCCGTCTTTATCTCTCTTCGGATTTAGTTGTGCTAACGATTGTTGTTTCTCTCCATCTGGAAAGGACTCTGCCTGTGTTCTTCGTAGCCACACGGTCTCGGCTTCGGTGATATAATACAATACAATACAATACAATACAATAAAAATTTATTTATCCACGGTGGAATCTTCAGTATATAAATATATACAAGTTTAAGCATGCAAAAATAAATAAAAGAATATGATCTACTGGTTTACAAGATTGCCGTGTGGGAGTTCATCTCCATTTTTTTAATACTTGTTTACAGCTTTCCGGAACTGAGCAAACGATTGGAGCATTCTTATATTTTCGGGAAGGCTATTCCACAGCACTGCTCCACTGTACTGAAAGCTTCGCTTCAGATAATTAGTTCGTGGCTTGGGTAGATTTAATTTCATTTCAAAGTTCCTAAGATTATATTCTGAGCCACGAACTGAAAAAAGATTTTGTAGATAGGTAGGTGTGTCACCTTTGAGTGTTTTAAACATCAAGCCAGCTTTAAGTTTTTTGCGTCTCAACGATAAGTTATCCAAGTGTAAAGTATCAAGAAGCACAGTAGCATTAGTGTCATAGCTGGACCTCGTAATGACCCTGACCGCCCGGTTCTGTAATTTTTGTAGTTTAGAACTTAGCGTTTCGCCAAGACCATCCCAGACCGAGCAGCAGTAGTCAAAATGAGGTTGAATCAGTGCTTGGTATACTTGGATAGCCGTTGAAATGCAGGATCTTATACGTTTTAAAGCCCCTATGGCTGAAGCAATTTTTTTACATAGTTTGTCAGTATGCTCAGACCACATAAGGTGATTATCAAGATGGACACCCAGAGATTTTACCGAAGTAACTTGGTTGATCATATTACCGTTTATCTCAATATCTATTTCATTATTTAGTGTTTTTATTGTCTGTCTAGATCCAACTACCATAAATTCTGCTTTTACAATATTTAAGCTTAGTTTATTTGTGGTTAGCCAATCGCTTAGACCTTTCAATTCGGTGTTAATGACATTTTGGAGCTCTTTGGCAGAGTCGGATGCATAACTAATACTTGTATCATCTGCGAACATTCTTGCAGTTGTATGATCAAGACAGTTCGGTAAATCATTAATGTAGATGAGGAATAGCAACGGCCCTAGGCTGCTACCTTGAGGTACACCGCAGGCCACTGGCACAGAATCTGACAGTTGACCGTTTACCCGGCACTTTTGAGTTCTATCAGTGAGGTATGAATGAAACCAAGTATAAGACTGTTTTCGTCAATACCATAATTTTTAAGCTTTTGTAGGATAATTTGATGATCGATCGTATCAAAAGCTTTCTTTAAATCAATAAATACAACTCCGTTAATTAGGCCATTGTCAATATTCATGGACCAGTCGCTTGTGGCTTCTAGCAACGCTGTTAGGGTACTGTGGAACGGTCGAAATCCAGATTGGCATGTGTTCAGCAAATTATTTGAATCAAGATACCCATGTAGTTATTGTAGTTGATCGAAAATGATTTTTTCAAAGATTTTAGCAACACATGGAATAATTGATATAGGCCGATAGTTGCCTGGGTTATTTCTTGTGCCACTTTTAAATACTGGCGTTATTCTGCTTGCCTTCCATTCATACGGGAATATTCCGGTATTAATAGATGCAGTGAATATTCCTGTTAACGAGGGTGCAATAACACTTGCAGCTATCTTTAGGAATTTGTTTGGTATATTGTCCAAACCAGCTGACTTCTTATCATCTATAATGTAGTCAGCAGTTGATAAACTGTATTAACGGAGGGAGTTTTGAGAGAGAAAGATTTATTTATCAGTTGGTTTAAGATAAAATACTGGATCACGCACAGGATCAGGAATATCG